ACTTCCCAGCATGCACAGAGCCCTGGGTGTGATCTCTAGCAACCCTCCTCACAACACCCCCAAAAAAGTATAGAAAAAAAATTTTCTTAGAATTTTACAAAGATAAAAGGGAATTCCAAAAAAAGTATAAATATTGCTTTAAGATGATCAATTACATGCTTAAGAGAAGTAATAATCATTAAGGACTTTGTTAACACCTACTAGACAATTGTCAAATAGTTTCTCAAAATTAGCAATGACAGCAGGAGAAATTTTGTGTGTCTGCAGCACATGAAGAAGCGTTAGGAATTCATTATCACAAAGGTACACAGCACATGGAAACAGCCCACATTCTATTCTAGAGTCAACTTAAGGGTGTTGGCTAAATACTTTTACTGAGAGATAGAACACAAAATGTAAGAAAAATCAAGATAGGAAACAGCAAATTTCATAAACTGCAGAAATAATTGCATGTTTCAGGAAATGTCAATGATAACAGACATAAGTACATCTAAAAGGAAAAGATTTTAGCAAACATAGTTGAGTCAACCACATATGGAAATTGATGAAAGGGCATCAAAGGGGCAGTTAAAGGATAGGGCGGCCCGGGGGGAGCAGCGATCAGTGAAGCTTGTGCAAGGTAGCCCACTGATTTTTAACCTGGTGCAGTTCTTCTTAGCACACAATTTTACAGTTAAGATTACAGAATGACGTTCACATCTTGTGCTAGATACCTTCAGTTGTCAACTTGACAACTGGGTAGAGGGAACCTCAACTGAAGAATTGTCTCATGATTGGCTTGTGGGGCATTTTCTTGTTTGTTGAGTGATGTGGAAGGGCCCAGTCCACTGTGGGTGGTGCCACCCCTAGGCAGGTGGTTCTGTGTTATATAAGAAAGCAGGCTGAGCACAGACCAGAGAAGCAAGCCAATAAGCAGTGTACCTCCATAGTCTGTGCTCCAGGTTCCTGCCCTGAGTTCCTGCCTTGGCTTCCCTCAGTGATGAGCTGTGACCTGGAAGATGTAAGATGAAATAAACCCTTTCCTCTCCAAGTTGGTTTTGGTCAGTGTCGTCCCCCACCCCCACCCCAGAGCTGATGACCAAACCCAGGGCCTTGTGCTTGCTAGGCAAGCACTCTACCACTGAGGTAAATCCCCAACCCCTAATTTGGTCAGTGTTTTTATCACAACAACTGAAAGCAAACTAAGACAGAAGTTGGTACCAGGATTGTGGGGTAGTGCTGTGACAGACTTGACCTTGTTGTTTTGGGAAGGATTGTAAAGGGGGTTGGAACTTTGGGCTGGAAAAGCCATTGAGTGCTCAGAGTTAGTGAGCTGTTGCTCTGGAGCTTGAAACAGTTATGCTGAAGAGAGATGTGAATGATGGAGGCCTGGCTTGTGACATTTCAAGGGAAGCAAAGATTATCAGGGCTGTATGACATTTTAATTGACAATCTGTGGTTTCTGGTCCACTCGGACTGAAGAATCAGCTGTGTGTAACAAGAGACCAGCATCACTGAAGTGAAATCTTCTGGGAAGTATTTCCTTAGGGTCAGCACACAGAAGCTGTGCTCCAGAGGGGGCCTGAGACTCCATCTCAAGCTGGATGTAGGACTTGGTAATATGTAAGAGTCTCCTACCTCCTGGTTTTGAAGGCATGAAGGGGTCCTAGACAGTAGCTGAGACTTGGGAGTATGAGAGGCCAGGAAAGGCCATTGGTGAAACTGCAGCCTCAATTGTAGTGACGACCACCTCCCCGACCCAGGATTGAGGGGTCATGGAGAGAATCTGAGGTTTTGCACTCTGAGATGCCAGAGGAGCCCATTGGTGAAGGTGCAGCCTCAGTTTTAGTAGAGACTCCAGCATATTGGAGATGCCAGGACCATGGGATGACCACCAAGGGCAGTGGCAGGTGTGGAGTGGAGATGGCCTCAACCTACAAGGCAAACTGTGTGTACTGTGGATGGCAGAGCCAGAGAAGTGGAGCTGCCCAAGCCCTTTGCAGCTCAGAAGATCATGAGTGAATCCTAGCTGTCTAGCCTTGAGCTACTTTGATGGACTCTGGTTTTGCTTAAATGTGTTCAAATCTTCTCTTTTGAAATAAGACAGTACTTGTTTTGGATTTTACAGGATCCCATAATCAAGAGACTTTTAAGGGAGACTGAATTTTTAAAGTGTTTAAATTTTTAAAGACTGGGACTTTTAGAGTTAGACTATTCTGCTGTAATATTAACATGAACTCTTGGGGATAAGAAATGGAAAAGGTGGTTTAAAGGGATGTGTTTGTGTGTCAAGTTGGGAAGGGGTCAATTGTGCTGGATAGCTTCAGCTGTCAACTTGACACACTCGGGTAGAGGGAGCCTCAAGTGAAGAACTGTCACCATTGGTTTGGCCTGTGGTCATGTCTATGAGGCACTTTCTTGATTGTTGAGTGATATGGGAGGGCCCAGTCCACTGTGGGTGGTGCTACCCCTGGGCAGGTGATACTGTGTTGTATAAGAAAGCAAGGCTAAGCATGGGCCAGAGGAGGAAGCCAGTAAGCAGTATACCTCCATAGTCTATGCTCCAAGTTCCTGCCCTGAGTTCCTGCCTTGGCTTCCCTCAGTGATGAACTGTGACCTGGGAAATGTAAGATGAAATAAACCCTTTCCTCTCCAAGTTGGTTTTGGTCAGTGTTTTTATCACAGCAATTGAAATCAGAGTAAGACACTTCTTACTGTTGCTTATATCTGCTACCTTTCTGCTGAATCTAATAAAAATCACAATGGGGCGAGTCAAAGAGACTCCTGGCAGCAGAGGGGTCTACAATGCTTAGATTAGAAGTGCATCCTCACCAACATCTGCCCCTCAAAGCTGTGATCTCCATCCTCCTCACAAAGATGTCTCAAACTCCAGATCAGAAATTTGAGTTTCCATTCTATTAACTCCAACAAGCCTCATTATATAAAACTGGATAAATGTATTAATGGAATTACAGAAATGGAAAGGCAAGTCCTAGAAAGTCTAGGAATTTTTCTAACAATGCATGATCACTGGGGAGAGGGAAAATGAATTTTCCTAGAGAGCAGGGTGTGGGTGAGCCAGCTTCCACTCAAGCAGCATGTGTGGGCCACCCTGCCCAGGAACAGCCTGATTGGCAGTCACCCTGCTGAACCTCTTGTGGAGACGTCCCTTCAGTATCTGGAGAGCTCAGCCAGGCTGTGTCAGGTCATACAGTACTGGGTGCTGACCTAGAAAGTTAGGATTTGCACATGACAAGCAGCATAGGCCAGACTGGCAGGGAGAAGCTGGGTGCTAGGGGTAGGAGGGAGTGAAAGAGATCTGGTCTCAAGTTCCATGTAGGGACTTAGCTCCCCAGATACCTAGAAGACTCCTTGGAATTTTTTTTCTCCAAAAACAAACCAGAATTCCATGTGGAATTAGGTCAAGATTCTGGGTTTCTTTCTCTTTCTCTGCCATAAGTGCCTTTTGTCAAGTCTCCTGGCAAAATGTGGTCTAAATCTGTAGTCATTTGCATGATTTCTTTGTGGAGTAAACATGAACTTGATGAAATTCTAATTGAAGAATTAAATTCATCTAATTAAATTGCCTTCCACCCTAATAGAGGAGTGTACAGATAACTTAGAGTTCCTCTTAAAAGAAGACAGGGAAACAGGCTAATCTCAGTAATATCCTGTTAAAGTTTATACACAATGCTCTGTTCTCCTGATTAAAGTGGGAAGACTTAACTTTTAAAAATGAAAACTTTTAATTCTGAGTCAACAACACATTATGTTTTTATATAGTGACATGTCCCAGATGATTTAAGAATGCATTTAAAGGCATTGAATTAAAAGGCTCTCCTTATTTAATCACTTCACATACATTCCTAGCTTCTTACTTATGGAATGCATTCCATGCTATGCATATACTAAATATGCACATCTCATGTACGTGTGTGTACATATATGATATACTCTGGGGTTCAGAGATATAAAGGAAAAATGATAAAATTATACTGAGTCATAGGCCGGGCATGATGGCGCATGCCTTTACTTCCAGCACTTGGGAGGAAGAGGGAGGTAAATTTCTGTGAGTTCAAGGCTACCCTGGTCTAGTGAGTTCCAGGACAGCTGGGGCTACAGGGAGACCCTGTCTCAAAAAGACAAAAAGAAAAAAAAATTATACTGAATCATATATGAGTTTTTTCAGGCAATCTCATCAGGCATTTTTAGTTAAGACAAATTTAGCATTCAAATAATTTATACCCCACAAAAAATTAAATCTAGTTTGAACTTTTTAAGTATTCACTTTTCAATTCATTACTGAACATTTCTACCTGAAAATCAGTTATTTCTTTTACATTCTTTAACCTTTGACTTTGAAATGAATGCCAGAGTTGAAGAAGCATCCATCTTGCCCAGTTTCCCTTCATAATTCAGAGGAAGGCTGTGAGCCAGGGGCCCCTCTTCCACGTGCTCCCTTATGAATACACACGTATACACATACAACCTGTGCTGGGTACATGTAAGTTTAAGGTGAATTTAATAAATTTCGTCTTGTATAATGTTTTCTTCTGGTCCGCCCACTTTTTAAATAAATAACATTAAATACATTTCTTGACAGAAATTTGAAAACACTTAGAAATTTGTTTTTTATCACTTTATGTAATAATTATAAAATGTACTATTGTTGCTGAATAGACACACTTTGTTTTTAAAAATCAAATAAAAAATACATTTTTTTGGATAAAAGAGGGTCTTGGTCTTATTCTTTCTAAACCTTTAATAGCCAATCCAATATACTACAACAACTTGTAGACTCAGATTTGCATATGCAAATAATTTTAACAGGAAAACCACTTATTTGAAAAAACAAACACATTTAACAGGTTGAATAATCTATTTTGAAAGGAAATTTATGTCATGATAAAGAAGTCATATACACAAGAGGCAGTACTGTTCTTAGAACCCTACAATGGAGTCTTAATGTTATACCGTGTATCATACAGAGAAAAGAGAAAAAGAATGAAACCAAAGGTTACCTTTTTGTGCAAGGCATGAAACTCGCTGTACCTTTTCTCAACAAAATGTTTTCTTCCATTCATTAGCACTTCTATTTTAAACACCTAAGGAAAAAATTAAAGAGATTAATTCTACTGGTTCAGAACCTTCAATTGTCTGATGTGGTAAGTTTGTGACCATGATATATTTCATCCCTTTAATTACAGTAGCCAATTCTCCCCAAACCCAGAAGGCTCAGGAGACCCTGGCCCAACGGCACTGATTAATGAGCACTCGAGTCAAATGCTCACTAACTACAGCATTCTCCAGGAACGTGTCTAAAAATAAGGGGACCTCCCATGCACTAAAAGGCTACTTCACTTTTTACACAGAGACTATGCTTCCCTTAAAACCTGACTTCATCAATGAATATGGTGCTACCGATCTGACAGGGCAATGCGAAGGCAGGACTGGCGAGTACTCAGACATAGGGCATTCTGTTACAGGTATTTCAATGAAAGCAGAGTGGCAGCTGAGACAATCATGCAAACAGCAGTGCCATTTTTGGGTTAATTTCTTCCTAACCTGCATATTCATCTCTAGTCTCAGCTGGGCTTATACTGCTATTTGCAAAACAGGGAAAATACAGGGAGGACTCATTTTCCCTGTGTGATGCAAGTGACAGCTTGTGCTCCCACCTCTGGAGGGTGGAAAGGCCAGATGCAAAGGCACTCTGGGTGCACTAATTAGTAGGCACTAACATGACATTTTCTTGATTCTTGGGTCAGTGGGTCAAGACTGGGAGCGGGGATGAGAAATATTGTGAAATGCTCATGAAAATACAATGCCTAGCTGGGTAGGGAGGAATGCTTGGCAGGAAGCAACCCAGGGCTGCCAGTGCTGCTGTTACTCCAAGAATCTGGCCTACCCTTGTTTGTTAAGTGAGAGTTTGTAAATACCAAGATGAGAGAACAGTGGAAAGCTTAAGTTCCTGTTTTAATCACCCCTTTGAAAAAAAGCAAAACTGTCAAGTCATAAGACATTTGCAAGTGTAAAAAAAATACTTTAAATATAAGAACTATTCATATTTAAATAGGACCTAAGAGTTTATACACTTCCAGTACGAAAACAGAGTCTCATGGCCCTGTATTTCTGCCTTATATGTAAACATGACTATTTCAGCTCAGACTTTATTATCAAACACAAATTCTAACCATAGTCTTATACTTCTTTGAATTAGAACCTTCCACCATATGACTTGGTTAAAGAGACCCATTTTTTTTTCAAATAGTAGGATAAGTTCACAACTAAATCAATATTTAATAATGTTTCATCCCTTCAAGAATTCTCCCTCAATACTTTTAATAATTTAATGAAAACATTTTCTTCTCAATTATGCCTATGTTTTAAACTCTCAGATATACATCCATTATTTCTTAGGAAAATTCTGTTTACTGATTCACCAAAGAAAACAATGCTTCCAAGAGTCTATAAGAGAATCAGGAAGATACCTCCAGAAACAGGCAAGAGAACTGGACAGCTCATCTCCAGGCTTGGTTAACCTGCTGCAGGACTCCTTCCCAGTGTCAGGACTGGCTACTAGGAGCTACATCACAAAAGCTACCACTTTAATTGGCCGATTTGCTGTAGAATCCATAGGACAGAGACGTGGTAAGCCCCAACCTACTGGGTCACCTCTCAGTCAGACTGCTCCTCCTGAAGGCCACAGGTGAGACATCATGATCTGGCTGCCTCAGGGAACATCCTGAGCAGATGGTTCCATCTTGGTTCCATCACCAAGTTCCACAGTCACTCTTCACAAGCACTAAGTTCACACTGGGAGGCAGCGGGGTGGAGGGGACACAGATTCAAGGGAGGTTTATAAAAAGCATTAAGTCTATTACACTGCCATTGGAAAAAATACATGTACCCAATACTACTAAGACTTTTCTTCTAAGTTCTAAGAAAACACTTTGGAAAGGAGGTTGGTTAACCAGGATTTCCATGGCAAGAAAAACAAGAAACGGAGTCCATTTAGTAAGGCTTCTTTTCCTGAATATCAGAGCAGACCTTTATCTTTATTCTTTCAATTTTGTGACAATAGTTCTCTCTGCTACACAGAAATTCCTTTTCTCACTTTGCTTCCCTGGAAAACTCCAGCACAGTACCTGGCGTTCAGCTGTTCATTTATTTAACAGATAATCACAGAGGGTCTACAGCCTGCCTGGGAGTTGTTCTTGGTTCCAGGACTCAGGAGTGAACAAACAAGAGCCCAGTCTTCATGGAGCTGAGATCCTGTGCAATGAGGAAGTGGACTACACAGCCATGCACAAGCAACATGGTGTCCAGACAGACTCAGCACCATGAAATGTAATACAGTAGGCAAGACACGGAACTTGACAAATGGATTCACACAGCATGTCAGGGAGGTCCTCTCTGAAGACAGAGGCAGTAAGGGCACAGAATCAGAGGTAACAGGCCAGAACATCTGAGAATGTAAATGTGTGTGTGTGTGTGTGTGTGTGTGTGTGTGTGTGTGTATACACGTGTGGGTTTTGGTTTTTTTTGAGATAGGGTCTCACTGTGTGGCACTTACTGGCCTGGAACTTGCTATACAGACCAGGTTGGTCTTGAACTCACAGAGATCTGCCTGCCTCAACTCCCAAGTGCTGGAATTAAAGGCATGCTCTATCACACCTGGTATGAGTTAATATTTTTAAGAATATAAAAATATGAAGCTCCCAGAAAAATAAAATTCAACTTGGCAACCAATTGAAAAAAAGCAGGAAAACACAACTTAAGAAGAAGAAAAAAAAAACAAAACAATGGACAGACACTTGGAAGTGGGAGAAACTCAGAAATCTTCTGCAATGAACTGTGTCCTCTACCTGCTCTCCTCTCAAGATTTGGCCTTTGACGAGGGCACCGCAGGAACAAAGGCAGCCCATGAGGCCTTTACTCCACCACTTCTAGCTTTTGCCCCTCTCAACACCTTGAGAAGCATTAAGGAGGACACTCAAGATCCAGGAAGCCTGGCATGGTGACACCTATAATTCTAGCACTTAGGAACTGTTGCTAAGGCCACACAAAAAGACCCCATCTTACACACATACACACACACACAGCATAGTTGATACAGAAAGCACTGTAGAGGAGACCACTTCACTTTTATGTTACTCCACCTAGTAGGGTCTGTACCTATTCTACCTCTCAATCTCCTTACAGTATGGTTCCAAATCTTGTTTGCTTCTTACTACAAAAATAGTATGTTCTTCTGGAAAAACTGCAATAGTACAAAGTGAAAGGTATTAAACTCTCACATAAAAGACTTGCCTAAGTCCTTACCAACCCACAAAGTATCTTATGCATCCCTCTAGAAATTCTCCATATACATATTAACTCTAGAAATTTTCTTATATACCTAGCCCAATGCCATCCAATTAGTTTTTTTAAAAAAAACTTAATATACATTAAACATTTTTATTTATTGGTACATTTTCACATAAGTCATTCTCTTGTGGCTACATAGAACTCCTATGTATGACATAAATTCTACTTAATATTTCTGCCCATGATATTACATCATTTGTTTAACTAGAATTCCAGGGTGGCATTATGTTATTTGTAGCCTTGTTATTACATATTTATTCATAGGGAACATCCTTATACCTAGGCATGTATGTACAAGCATACATAATACACATGAGAAGCTACCAAAGCCTAGCCAGAATTTCCCCCTCAAATATCCTAAGTCACGCTGTCACCATTAGGACATGAAATGTCTAGCCTATCATCACTGACTAATAGTCACTTTGCTGACCTGATGAATAAAATGAGAATTAGTTTGGTACATAGTGATAAAAGCATATGGTAGTTTCATAAAGTATATGTTTGTATTTTAACTATCTCTCATAAAGTTCTACAAAGGCCCAACCCACTCATTCTGCTCTCTACTTCTAGAGACATCTTTCTCTCAGAGATTTCTAGAAGTTTCCCTTAAAGTAAGGGACCCTATCTGCAATTTAATAAATACATTAAAGCTTTCACTAAGAGCACAAATTATTTTTCTCATTTGATTAAATTTTAGCTAAAGTTCTAGAAGAATTAGTGAGTCAAAAAGAAACATTAGTGAGTCACAAAGAAAATGGACATGAGCAGCAACAACCCTCAGTGACAAAGCACTTGCCTTTCTCTTTCAAGAAAAAAGGAGCTTCAGTGTTTTGCCCAGTGTGGTAGCTCATGCCTGTAATCCCAGCACATGGGAAGCTAAGGCAGGATTGCTGCGAGTTTGAGGACAGCCAGGACTATGTAGTGAATTTCAGATTATCCTGAGCTACAGAGTGAAACTGTCTTAAGCCACATCCCTACCCCCAAAATTACTAAATACAGTGTAAAGGTTCAAATATAAAAAACTAAATGTAACCTGATTTGGCACCAAGTGTCCATCTGATATAAAGTCTGAAAGAGTTTGCACTAAGCAGTACACCCAACAATTTCTGAAGCAGCATTTCCTCCTCTACAGTTCCAAGCACACTTCTTGACTGTACAGTGAAAATATCAGTAACTATGTATACACACATATACTTAACTAGTGTAACATTCATTACTGTGCTCAGTTTTTAGAATCAATCTATGCAGCATGTGAGACAATTATTTTTATAGATGACATTGTAAATATGTTAAAACCCTGTCAGTATAAAAACCAATGACGGGGCTGGAGAGATGGCTCAGCGGTTAAGAACACTGGTTATTCTTGCAGAAGACCCGGGTTTGAATCCCAGCACCCACATGGAAGCTAACAACTGTCTGTAACTCCAGTCCCAGGGGATCTGACCGCCTCTTCTGACCTCCTCAGGCATTGCTGGACACAACACAGGTGCACTTACCTACATGCAGGCAATACACACATACACATAAAATAAAAAAAGAGAAATAAACTTAAAAAAAAAAAACAATGACATACCAAGTAGAAGAGAGGAGAGGGACTGCAAGGAAACAGAATGAAAAGAAGGAACCAGGTGCAAACTTTCTCCCTTGACATGAATAGCAGTCAAAGGATACTGCTTAAAAGTTGGCAGATGTAGAAAGAGGTTCAAGTTGAAAATATTCTGTGAAAAAACTGTGT